AAAGTTAATTTAAATGAAGCATGCAGTTAGAAATTGGTATTGCGGTTTTCTAAATGATGTTATTATATTTTATTTTACTCACACTTTTAACTCACCTATTTGTCCATGCAATGATCTCTTGGGACGGAGTTGCTGTGTTCTTTGTTTTTTATGAACCGTATGCTCATCGTGAAGCGTAAGAGTGGATATAGCAGTTGGTCCTTATATACACAAAAGTATTTATAAAATCATTCAGAACATTGTCTTCATGTAAAAAGATGCTACCTAACTGAAATAGTAACCGTATGGATATAGGTGTTATATTACCACTTGTTTGTGTTACTTGAGTATGGTTTTCATGAAATGCTCGCTTGGGAATGACTTGCTATGTTCTTTTTTTTTTACGGAGAGGATAATCCTCAGGTCGGTTAAGAGCAAATGGTCCTTATATACACAAAGGTATTAATAAAAACATTCAGAGCATTGTCTTCATTTATAAAAATGTTATCTAACTGAAACAATAACTATATCGATATAGGTGTAATAGTACCACTTGTCTGAGTTGATTGAGTATGATTTTCCGAGATTNGTTTCTTTCTAAANATTCTTGCGTCTCTAGCCATTNCNTGAGTGTTGGTTATTTCTTGGAGGACCATTTGTGATTGCGGAGTATTATCTGGCCTCTTTCTGGTTGCAACCGTGTTAGAAGTCTNATCATTTTGACTACTATTACTTATTGGTGCTGGAAGTAAGAACACGTGATTAGTAAAAGTAAGAATTCAATTTATTTTCTTAAGCTGGAAAAAATTTTATTCTTACTTTGTGATTTTTTACTTGAATTGTCTCCGAAAGATTGTTGCCTTTTCCGGTTAGCAACTGACTGACTATTCTGACCATGAAGACTAACACTGCTTGGTGCTGCTCATGATATAACAACTCGTGATTAGTTAAACAATAGAAAAGTCATCTATAATATTNACAGACTGAAAAAGATTTCTTACTCGGTGATCGATTATTTATAATATCTCCCAAAGGTTGTTGATGCTTCATTGGAGATGGATTGCAGAGCGGATTTATCTTTCTCCTCATATCTACAACGTTCAACTCAGAAAGAGAACAGAAATTGTAAATACAAAATCAATAATATATGTAAGTAACTCTAACACGTTGCTTGAATTTACTTGATAAACTNTACCTCTCGGTGAATTCTAAATCAGGGTTGTTGTGCTCACAATTTTTCGATGATCAACACGATTTATGAAGAGTCGAAGTTAAAGAACTGAATACTAGGTTTCTGTGCACGTATTCGTAGAATATTGTTGTAGTGAAAAACGGAAATGAAATATTACTAAATATACGTATTAGTAAATGCATATTTTGCTAAGAAATTTTTATCTGCCACAAATAAGTAGGTAAATATTTTATAACTTATTGGTAATCTTGTACAAATAATTCGAGATTAATTTCGTTTGCTCTCAATAATGGTAAAAAATTCTGAGTTGGAGGGATTGGTAACATCTTTCACATTTATGTATTGATTTATGCAAAATTTGCTAAAATAAGACACATTGAAGTTGACATGCTCTATAGTGGNATATAACATCGCATCATCTTGTGGTCTTTGAAGCAAATTACCAGCAAACATTATTCTTTTTCCTGTATGATGAACCTTGTCTTAATGTCCAAAAGGAGCATCCTTATATGGATGAANCTCTCAGTCTTCTCGTTAAACCTATAAGAAGCTACCATGTAAGGTATGTTAACGTCAACTATTAGTACATGTGAAGTAGAAAGATAGGATGGTGGTGTGAAAATCCTAGAATTTGGATATGATGATGAAAGTTTTATTAATCGTAAGCTCATATGAGGANATCTTTGTGTATTCATTTCTTGCTAACGTCTATAAATCTGGTCTTTAAAATACGTTAACTTAGAAGAAAATAAGATCCAAAAAAATTTCATTAGATAAATAATAGTTGTTTCAGAAGTTCTGAAACAGACTCATAAAAATCTAGGTTGAATAGCAACTGGAAAACCAAATCCAAAGCCAACGGAATAGTAAAAAAGCAAGAGAGAGTATNATAGCTCCCAAATTTAAATCCAAAATAAAGTAAAACAAAACACCANAAATCCATAACACACTGAAATCAACATGTGACTACTCCGTCTTCTCTATCTTGACGAAGGGAACACAAATTCTCTTTGATGCTGAGTTTTGATCTGGTGCATATCTTGGAATTTTCCATTCCTCTGNTTTCTCNTCATCATATTTCACTTCAATCTCTACAGTCTTCGAAGATGGAGTCAACTNTACGTTTTTATCTTCCTCTGTTTTCTCATCATCAGTTTTTACTTCCATCTCTTTACGTTTCGAAGATGGAGTCAAATCTGGAGTCTTCTCAGAATGTGTAAGTAGCAGAGGTTCCTGATTGACACTATCTCCTCCCTGAAATATAAGACATAACACGTTTGACTCAATATAAGACATAACACGATTGACTCAAACACAGCTTCAATTTCAAACATTATACAATTAATAAAAACTAAACAATGCAAATACCTGTGAGCTATCACCATTGCTCAGCGTCTGACTCATAGCTCTGTACACCTGATTCATTGTTGTGGTTCTTGCAATCATAAGTAATTTGAAGCTATCATGTTTCCAAACGACGTTAGCACGCTCAACATTGATAACGAACAAAANTTTTTGTCCAATCAACAGAGTTAGAGCANGAGGTAAATTTGTGGGATCGCCATTCTGCAGCAATATAATCATTAGATTGGTCAGACAACTGCAGTCTAGTTTCACAGTACTAAGATTTATTCAACATAAGATAATAAACCTCAGTTGTAGTTTCAGTGAGCTCTGCGGCTGTCCTGTGGACAATCTGCATGGCATCTTTATCAAAAAGGACAAATGTTGCTTCTCCACTGTTGTCCTTAACACGTAAATGCAGCATGAACCTGGATTTCAAAGAATGATGAATATTAGTTGATTGTTGAATTGTCCTCATTAGATAGTGGACTGTAAAACTAAACAATAATTTTATAGATAATACCTTGGGACAACATCCTTAACCTCTCCATCACACTTTGGACAAAAGAAGACCGTACGAAACTCATCTTCCTCTTCCTTTTCAACAGGCACAACTTTCTTTTAACTGTTCGACAGGAGATGTAGAACCAACCCATGTCTGAAACGACCGAGACAATCTCGCATAGAGCTATCATCTTTCCTCTCTAACAATACATATACACGGACCAATAAGTTTCCACACATTAAAATCTAACCGAGTAAGGTAAGTAAAGACAAAGTTTTATTTAATACCTCCTGAGATTCACGAATCTCTCCTAGAGGTTTTGGAGGATTTTCCATGAAAAAATCCTCAGTAGCACAAGAGCAAGATGACAATTGCCTGGGTTCAATAATGGCTAAAGCAAGTCCANCTTGTGGTAGGCTGGCAAACATATGCAGTAATAAGAATAGTAATAANTATGCAAATTTACCATCATAANAAACTTAAAAGCTTTAGTAGAAGGGAATATTTAGATACAACAAACCTAGCCCTAAACTCCACAACTTCTCGATGTGTTGAGTCGAGAAAAACCTTAGAGCAATTGAATGCATTAGTAACACTCTACACTTCTGCATTAGAAGGTCAAAATAGTTAATATTCTATAAATCTTACTGAAATTTGTAATAAATATCAATATATTCAGACCTTTCCACTGACTGGTCCGACAAAATTGCGCAACTAATATGATATTAGTGCTATTATGGTTCTTCACATAGTCGTTCACTGTCTCAGGGTAACTTCCAAAGAGTGTGCAGGAGAATCGTTGATTTCTATCAAACAAACATTAAATAGTTTGATCAATTGGCAGTAGTAAAAGTAATAAGACTAAAATAATAAAAAAATGTATAGATTAAACATACTCTGAATTGCTGAGTATAACTATAAGTTTCTTGGTTTCTTTCTCATGTTTTTCAAAGGTTTGAAGATCCGTAATGTTGGCAATATGGCCAATCACATCTAAAACACACAAAACCATAATTAGATCATACAAAAAGATTTGACAGTTGAGTAGAAGTTATAATGAGTATGATAAATACTACTTACCAACCAAATACTCGATTCCCAATGTCCCATTAGTAATGTCATTANAGTTAGCAAAACGCCAGCCAGTTAATGTGTCTGGTAATTGATCACATTCCNCAACTGACGTNTTTTGGAAAAANNATATCTTGTAGGTGTGGTCAGTGCTCTTATAAGCACCCACAGTTTGACTGACTGAGAAATTTCGAATCAGTTTTGTGTCTTCTTCAGAGAAAACGTTCTGGAACTCTGACCAAAATTGTTTCTTGATTGTGACCCCGATTTTGTTTTTCTGCAATGACAACAAAATATTGCATATCGGTATTAGAAACCTTTACTTTATAATAACATAAGAAATTCAACACAATTGATACTTACCATTGAATCAGCAAGGATAAGTTCCAATGTTGCACCATATGGTGACTTTTGTTTCCACAGACGTAGAATCTTAGCCTTAAACTTCCAGTTGGTTCGATACGGTTTGAGCTCGAAAATCATGTTTATGGCAGCCATTTTTTTTAAGTTTAGAAAATGTAATAGTATATTGCAGAAATGATTGATATGTTTTAGTTGTGTAGAACTATCTCTTATATAGAGTAGTCGAGGATCTTGGAAATCTTTGGCTGGAAAGCTTCATATTTAATGTAATTAATTGCATTCAATTTGACATTAATAATTTATAATCTTACGTATATTTTGTATAGATTCCAATATATAATCCTTGGCNGGAAAGCTTCATATTTAATATAATTAATTGCATTAAATTTTTCATTGCAATAATATCTTTTGGCTATATTTGACGATCTTTGTCTATACCCCGTGAAATACATCTCTAATATTGTGAGCAATTGTTAGAGGATAGAGGATTATTGATCAATTTTCCTAATTTTGATTAACAAACCCTTAAAATCCTCCTAGCATGACACCTAGGATTCTCAAAGAGTGTTTTTTCTATTAATATATAGAGGATAAAAATTATGAAATTCGTATCCATAAGAAAGTATTTTGATTAAGCTCTTAAGTTAATATTAAAATAAATTTAAAAAAGGGCAATTACAAAAATACCTCTTTTGTGTGCACATTTGCAAGAATGCCACTTAGGGGTGTCCATTTACAAAAATGCCATTAATTATAGATTTATAAAACCTATATCATAAAATTCTAAACCCTAAAAAATGTTTTGACACCTAAAACCCCCCCCCC